CTTGAAGGGAACACCTTTCCGAGTGAGCCGGGTGAGAGGAACGCAGATGTCGGAATAATTGTAAATGAACCGTCTATAAAAATTGGTGAAGCCGAGGAAGGACTGAATGTCCTTGACTTTCCGTGGCTCGGGCCAGTCCTGGATGATCTTGACCTTGTCTGCCGCCATGGAGAGACCGTCAGGAATATAGCCGATATACCGAGGTACTCAACACGATCGGTGTGCCATTCGCACTTGTCAGGCCGGGCGTAAAGTCCATACTTCCGAAGACGTCGGAGCACTTCCTTGACATGTTCCTTGTGTGAGGCGAGATCTGAAGAGTAAATGAGAATGTCATCCAGGTAGACGATAACCGAAATATCGATGAGATCCGAGAAGATGTCGTTCATGAATCGCTGGAAAGCAGCCGGAGCGTTGGATAAGCCGAACGGCATAACCCTCCATTCGAACGAGCCGTAGCAGGTCCGGAACGTGGTTTTCCATTCGTCGCCATCCGCGATTCTGACCAGGTGGTAGGCGTGCCGAAGGTCGATCTTGGTGAAAACCTTGGCTTTGCCGGGAGTGTCCAACAGGTTGGAGATGAGCGGGAGGGGATAGCGGTCCTTCTTGGTGACTTTGTTAAGGCCACGGTAGTCAACACAGAGCTGAAGAGAGCCGTCCTTCTTCCGAACAAAGAGGATAGGGGCTCCGTGAGACGAGTTGGATGGTCGGATGAACTTGGATCGAGTATTCTCTTCCAGGAACTCTCGCAAGGCTTGAAGTTCGGTAGGGGAGAGAGTGGAGAGGGCAGCTCGGCACCTTCCTCGAGGTCGATCTTGAGGTCATAGGGACGATGAGGTGCGAGGGTGTCGGCCTTGGATTTGCTGAACACGTCCGGAAATTCGTGGTAGTCTTCCGGGACGGAAGAGAGGTCGACGGGTTCCGGGTTGTCGGTAGCCAAGACCGAGACCGAACCGTCGCCGGATAGGGCCAGTTGGAACGAGACTGACCCCGGAAGACGGCAGGCGCGTGCGAAGGCGACTGCGTTGATGAGGGAAACGTGAGGCAAGGGAGTGGATGGTTTGGGAGAAGGTTCATAAGGAAGGGAAGGAGTAGGCGGGATAGGAGGAATAGGAGGGACTGGAAGTGACTCGGCAATGACTGGAGTGGGCGGTAAGGCGGAAGCCGAACGGCCTGATAGACTTGGAAGAGCCTCGGATTGCGGAAGACGTCGGAAAGAATGTAAAAGGCCTGCGGTCCAGTCAATCAACGGATTGTAATTACGCAGCCAATTGTATCCAAACACTAGGGCACATGAAGAATCCAGTTTAGTGACAAAGAAGGTCGAGGAGAGAATGTCGCCGGTCGGATATCAGATAGGGATGTCGGCAGCTTGGGTTATCCAAGTGTTAACAGTCCCATCAAGGAGGCGTAAGGCTAAAGGAGGTATATCATAAGTGGAGACATTATGTATAGATACGAAATTAGTGTCAATGAAACAATGAGTGGAGCCAGAATCTACCAAGCCGGTGGCAGGAACCGTAGATCGTGAGTGTAATGTAACAGGGAGCGTGAGGGAGTCGGGGTCGGATAGTGCTGCGGCATTAAGGCGAACTTCTTTGGGGACATCGCGAGAGCAACCGCAACCCTCTGGCAATGCCGAAGGCGGAGGGCTGCTTACTCTTTTGCTGTTCTGGACTTAGTGTCCTTCGCAGCCGGAGCAGCAGGTGCAGAAGCGGTGTAAGGAGGAGCGGCCGTAGTAGACAAGGCGTGACCTTTGGCGGAGTTACACTTGTGACAGTTGGAAGCAACATGGCCAGCTTTGCCACAGAAAAGGCAGAGGCCTCCCTTGAGCCGGCGTTCACGTTCCTCGGGCTTGAGCTTTCCGTCGGCACCCAACTTGTCAGCCAGAGGATTTGGCTTATCCGAAGAAGAGCCTTTGGATTTTGACTTATCCTTATCCTTGCTGTTGTTGCTGGAGTTGGAGCCGGACTTGGAGTTCGAAGAGCCGGAGCCGGAAGACGACCCGGCTGAGTTGCCTTTGGAGTTTGATGAGCCGGAGTTGTTGCTGCTGTTGTTGTTGCTGGTGCCGGACTTGCCGTTGGCGTTGTCTTTGCGCTTTTCGCGATTGATCTCGTTTTGGCGCTCCCAATAGTGATGATCGAGTTCTTGGGCGGTTCGCTGCAAACTAATGAGTGGTT